GGAGAAGGTTTGAGCATTTACTTTTTTAAAAAAGAGTAACGATTGGAGTTTCTTGCTCGTTGTTCTCCATTCGAATCTACATTTTGGAATGAGCACCTAGCATCACCTAGCTTCACTGACGGACTGACTGACAGACTTTTATTTATTTTGTATTTGTTGACGTTTGAAAAGTACCAAATTATGGTTTAATTGAAATAAATGGTTTGACTTTGACTTTGGCTTTGACATTAATCATCACGCTTGCTCAATGCGGATTGGCGATTACAAACTTATAATTAGAAATTATAAGTCGAGGTTTCCTCGCGATGTTTTCCTTCACCGTTTGTCAGTGGTGTCTAGATAATCTTAGAAAGAACATATAACTCGGAAAAAGTCACATTGGTTCTTGCTGTTGTTAGGTGTCGAACTCGCGCTCTCATGCATGAGAAGCGGGCCTCTTAACCTCCGGGCCACCACGACACTTACCATTTCTTTACCTAGTTTAGTTGTGTTAAATGGCACAACATTCTCACTTTATGTCTCCAAAAACATATTCAATAATCTTCACGTAGGCGCCCTGTAAGTAATCCTCTCATTTCTAAGAATATCAGATAATTTTTCGCAATATTCAATTATTATGTAGAACCTCATACCAAAAGAACGAACAACCTCACATTTACAAAATTAATCAGCATAATGAAAGGTGAATGACCCGAGAAGTATGACGACTCTAATCAAGAATATCGAATCACTCATAAAGTAGGGTATACCCTCCTACAGTAGGGTTTACCGTCCTACAGTAAGGTTTACCCCACACATCGTCGCTTCGTACGAAATAATGACATTCACCCAACGTGGAGTATAATATGTAAGTCCAGGTTTATAAGTGAAAGACCTTTATAACGAGGTTGTTATGCGACCTTTTTAGTCAAAGACATATTATGATATCATTTTTTTATTCCCTGTAGGGATAGGCAGAGTTCAAAGTATTGTAGGTTAATGTATAACAATATTGTGTTGATGATATACCTGTTGTTTGTTGTGATTAGAAAATCAGCGTTGAGTGTCACCATCGATAGAGGCCCTTTCGGAATGGGCAATCATTATTGTTAATTATATGATGTCTGTTTTTTTATTTATTTTATGGTTTTATTGTGTTCATGTAAGGTGCCAAATAAATGAATTCTTTCTTAATTATACCGATATATTATTACTAAATACTTAGTTATATTCTGGACTTCATGCTACGCTACGGAATCCGACAAGCAACCTACTTTGTCTTAAGCCTTGATTAGAACCTGAAGTCATTTAGGAGAGGCCTATGTTGAGCAATGGAGGGTTTGTGACTAATATAGATAACAATGATGAACATGCTAAAATGATTTCAATAGACAGCCTCTTAGAAGAAGACTTGCAAGAGCTGAACTCTTTTCTTAATCCCTCCATTGCTCAACTGCCTCGTTAGCCGAGTGGTCGCAAGTGCGACTGCCGGGCAAGAGGTCTCGAGTTCGAATCCCGGGTCGTGCAAAGTATTACTGGGTCTCAATAAATCAGTAGCAGCACGGAGTCTGGGATTGTGCCCGGTATATGGCAATAGGCTCACCCCTATTACATGGGACTCATAATATAAATAGTGAAAAGTGGGTGTTCCCCATCACGCCTTTTATCCCTTTGGGGATAAAAGGCGTGATGTTATGTTTTGTTATATCCATTGCTCAACACAGGCCTCTCCTAAATGACTTTTAAGTTTCTTGTAAACAACACAGTAACGTGTTTTAGAAATATACAATTAATACGACAAAGATATTGATGATATATTAGTTAAAACCTCAAAATATTTCCATAACTGGTCGGTTTCCTATTATAGTAGTGCCAGACGGTAATCTCAAAGCTAACCGGTTAATAAAAATGTGATTAATGTATTCTAATAGATACGAAAAACAAAAAATATATTAAACTGTCAAACACCAAGCGGTCACCGGTGACCGCAACCTATTGTTCTAATTGTGTCTACAAAACCGGTACTCGACGAGTAAACAATATTTGTATTGATGCTTATACGAGTTCTTTTCAAGTTATAATAGACAAAGTATGATATATCCACCACAGATGGGGCCCAATGGGGCTGATGCCGAGGACTTAACGGGTTGTCGGAGCTGCGGTTCGAAGTGCAGGAGTAAGAACGGGGTGGGTTTTTAGTCAGTAAAAGTCTGTCACGCCCTCTCGCCTCACACAGGCGGAAGAAGACATTGGATGATTATCCCCCTCAAAAAAAAGGGATAGCATGTAATATGAAAACAATCAAATAATAATAATTATGTTGTAGTAGCTACTTCCGCGCGGTTTCACACGCTCTGCTCAGCTCCTATTGGTCGTAGCCTGATTTTTTATAGCCTATAGCCTTCCTCGATAACAGGACTATCCAATACAAAAAGAATTATTCAATTCAAAACAGTAGTTTCGGAGATAAGCGCGTTCAAACAAACAAACTAACAAACAAACAAACTCTTCAGCTTTATAATATTAGTATAGATTAAATAAGTCCAGGGTCAATAATAAGAAGAATAAATAACATTCGGACAATTTGAGTTGCTCCCCTTCTGTGAATTTTGTTAAATGTACTCGTGTTCCTTTATAAATATAATGCCAAATATGTATTGTGAAAATCAAGTAATTATGTTATATCAATATTTTTATGTCGTGGTGTGGCTTGGAGATTTAAGACGCCTGCATCCCTTGCTTGACGATGTGCGGCTTCATAACCTATCACACGGCAAGTACCAATGTGACTTTTTTCGAATTATATGTACTTTGGCATGTGAAGGAAAGCATTGTGAGGAAACCTGGGCCTATTATTACTATCTAATTATAAGTTTGTAATCGCCAACCCACATTGAGCAAGAGTGGTGATTAATGCTCAAACCTTCTTCGTGTGTGAAGAGGCTTTTCTCAGCAGTGGGCATTTATAGGCTGTTGATGATCATGAACATTAAGGACCCTTTTTTTTTCAACATTTTACTTCTGTGACAAAACCACTCAAAACGATCGAATTTAATATTAGGTTGGTATATAAATATATAAACTAAAATAGACGATACTTAGCCTTAAGACATTACAAACTAGAGCATATTGTGGATTATTTACTCTCCTATACCGATACAAACCCACTATATGTAAATAAACTCAAACATATACCTACAACTTTGGAAAATACAACGTAAAACCTAAGCACCAAGGTTTAAATTGCCGAAGCAAGTTGTTTACCTCAAAATCTACGATATTATTAACAACTAGTCAAATATGGTGGAACTTAGACTGTATAAACATTTCAGTACTGCAGTCTAGTGTTTAAACTTAGGTATTGTAATGATCGAGCACTAAATAATATATGTGTTATATATTTTAGTGTGGGGGCGCCATGCTTCGGCACGAATGGGCCGGCTCGACCGGAGTGATACCACGGTCTCACAGAAAACCGACGTGAAGCAACGCTTGCGTTGTGTTTCGTCGTGTGAGTAAGGTTACCGGAGGCCCAATTACCCTCCCCTTCCCCAATCTCCCCAATCCCTGAATCCCTAACGATCCTTAAACTCCTAATCCCCAAAAAGCCGATAACGCACTTGTAACGCTTCTGGTGTTCCAGGTGTCCATGGGCGACACCGATTGCTTACCATCAGGTGATCCGTCTGCTCGTTCGTCGGCTTATGCCATATGCCATAAGTTGTCATTTCGCGAATTATATTTAAATCATGTGCTCTATAATTATGGAAGCGTAATTAAATAATCGGTAGTCCTCTACATTATCAAATCGATGTTGTCCAATCTAACTACTAGGTATTGAAAAATTCAAAATGCCTAATACTATTTTATGGTTCCTCAGATACAGTTTCCAGTCGAACCTAAACCACACAAGTAACTAATCTTCTAATATTTATATAGTTATACTTTGCTAATGCATTCCATCTCAATAAATAGATAGACCCACAAAAAAGTTTTAAATGCAACAATAAAAAGTAATTTTACTTATTTACATATATCGATTTACTTTTTCTCCTTATCTACGCCGCCATAATATAAAAGGAGGTAAATGACCCCAAAATTTAGAGCGTTTATAAATGTCCATAGATCAGTGAGGATGTACGGGGTTGCAATTATATGGGACATCAGTCGTGTTCACGCCATAAAGTTGAACGCGACAACGCATTCAATTACTGCTATTATGTTACATAATTCACATTGGATAAAAAATCATATACTTAGGGAACTTTCCCGTTTTCACCTTTCGAAAGAAAATATAAAATTCGAATAAAAATTATCAGGCAATGGATTTGAGTCTAATTTATTAATATATGTATTAAAAAAATGAACACAACATTTAAAAATGTACGTTCCATAAGTTCAAACGAACTTTTGAATAAAGAATTTGAATATATGTATCTTGTACGTTAAGCAATATACACAAATATTAAAAAATAATTTATGAATTCTAAATTGAAATTACAAATTAATTGTTTAATCGTCGAATTGGAATCAAATTTATGAAGTTTAACTCAAAACAATTCCCGGCTCAAATAATTCCAGAATGATTGACAGAAATGCAACGAAATTTAATTTAGTTTAGCGCGACTAAGCTAACAGGCACAAGCGTACGCTAAATAAATTAAGCTCGAAACATACTTAGCTCATAACTTTATTCAACGTCGAATAATTTCAAAGAGAAAGATGTTGTTTACGTATATTTTACAGTTAAATTATTTAGTAAATTCCGCATAAGGTCTAGTTATTAACTTAGTTATTAACTTCCTCGCTCTAGTATGCTACAAGCAATTATGCTAAGATAATTAATTAATAACACGACGTCTATCAACAAACTCCTACTGCCATTAACAATATTAAAGTATTAATCTTCTTAAAACACATTAATTCACAAGTAAATTATATATCGAACACAAATCGATATCATTATAATAATTACTACACTATTAATATTTATCAATAGCCCAAAAATTAAAATAACTTACGAAAGTTGATTTGTTGTAAAATTCACACCAACCAAGGTAAACCACACTAATAATTCACACAGTTTTATATTCAGAATTCAAAAATACACACAGAATTCATTCATTCGTTAAAAAAAAACGATTAAAATATATATTTATTTTCACAGAACCACACAAAAATTAATTGTTTGGAAACACATAGAACCTCACACAGATAATATTTTTTACGGTTTTAAATTGAATTGCGAACGCGATGTTCGAATTTCGTAAACCACGTTCGGATACACACAGCGAACACGCGTGCGTCCCGTCGCGCAGTCGGTTTTGGACTGTCCGGCTGAGAGCTTGGAAGCGTGGTCTGTTCAACTGAGTCATTACAGGATGAGAGTTAGAGAATTGAATGAGACGGCTATTATTTTAATAGATTTGTGGTCCATCTGTACGGGTAGGCTGGTGAAAACCTGTCGGCGGGCGTGTCAGTTATGTGAGTTATTTGCATACCGGAAAGTGGCCATAGCATAAATAATACAATCGTACGGAAACGAGGGTTCTCGTGATATACTTGAATCGTTACTGTAAAAGTCAACAGTCTCTGTTTGTTATTTATTTTTTATTTTATGCCAACTACAGCGTTTACATATTTATGTTATGTGTCGCTATAAAAAGCTATTTGTTTTTTGTGTCAAGGTTGTTGTGTTCGGATACACCAAGCGCGTTGCAGAGTCTTGCAGTAATATTTTTTTCCTAGCACTTCATATCTTGAAAGGTTGGAGCTGTATATCTTTGAAAGCTTGCAAAAAGAGGAAAATATAATGTTACCATAATCCTGGGGTATGAGAATTGCGAGATACAGGCCAAAGAAAATATTCCATGCTCGCTTTAAAATTTCCTTCATCTAATTTTCTTTTTACCAGCAGAGTGAGGTTCCTTTGCGAAATAATATTTTGTTTATTTTTTATTTATAAAATAAGAACACGCTGTTGGAAAATAAAATGGAAGATAATTATTAATCAGAATTTTTGAAGGTATTTTGTTTACTTATAGGAGATTTTTCAGTAAAAATCGGTTTATATTTATATAATAATTTATCATTTCTGTTAGATAGCAAATTGGTAGGTTCTATCCATATATATAAAAATTAATCCCTTTTCCCTAGGTCACGGCATCACGCGTGAATGGCGGGATCGATTTCAGTAATTCTTTTTTGTTGTATTTGTTATTATTAGGAGAAGGTTTTTAAGGCAGAAAAAAATCTTGATAATCCTACGGGAACGGGGGAAAACGGGATTGCGCGTACGAAGTCGCGGGCAGAAGCTAGTGTACGAATTAAAATGTAAGTTTATACAATAATATATTTTTTTAAGGGGAGAAATTCATCGAATGACTCCTTGCCTGGGTTATGGTTATTTTTAAAACAAGTGTGAGTGCTCTCTTAATTTGAATTCATCGGTTGGCGTCAGCCATCTTTATCATTATTTATTTAAGTTTCTATATTTATTTTTAGTTATCAAAATTAGTCTATCAGTTTATGAGTTGGCGTCACAACATTCGCGATAACAGTTCAGATCGTGTCTCATTTTAATTACTTTGTTTAACAAGTATTATAGATGATGTTATTTGAAACTTAACTTAAAAGATGAAAAAAAAAGATAATAATTTAAAGATTCATCTCAAGATAAATATTATACATTCATGTTTAATTGAGTTGTTTTAAAAAATGCGAGGTGAAGGGCGTAACAAGGGAGCCATGTTTAAAAATAAAAGGCTAATAGCAGTTCAAGGTGATCTTTGATGTATTCTTTTTACTTAAAAGCAAATTAACTCGTTAGTCTAGTTGTAAACGTGATTAAGTAAAGCTTTGGGTTCCATTCTCAGGTCGAGCATGTTATATTTGAGTTTTATGATGATATGAATAAATGCAAAGGTACAAAATGAGCATTTATATAGCTTTGCTCGTTTATCTTGGAACCTACTGAGATAATAAGTAGGTATATAGTATTATTTTAATTCATTTTTCATATTTTTATTTAATCTTAAACACATGTCGATTACGTATACATATTTGCTACATAGAACCACTAAACAGGTTTCGATGAATTTTGGCATTAAAAACAGACTATAACCCGTTTACACCAGTAACGTGAGTAAAACCGCGATCACAAATAGTCCAGCAAATAAAATCTCCTTGCAACATAATCATAAAATGGTCATCTGTCAGAATTAATTAAATTACTTCTTTTTTTTAAGCAATGGAAACGTGACCAAGTGCCAACCGTTGTTAGTGTTCGTGGGCTTCGAAATTCGAATTCCATTATTAAAAAAATGGCGCAGCATTTTTCCATTCTGAACGGAGACCGTAGGTAGGTACTTACAAAGCATTAATTGGAACAATATTGGGTAGATTCTATTGAAAATAAATGCCAAAGAGAAATGTGTAAATACGGTAAACGGGAACCCTTTTAAGACCCAAGGGGTTCGTTTGTTAAAGAGTAATCAACCTATAAGTCCTATTCAAATAATAACCAATTGCTCTAAATTTTGGGGCGGCATTAAATAGTAACGGTTCGAATCGGTTGTTCACCCTGTACAGTAAATGGCAATTGTTTCTATTGTCCCAAATTTGTGGCTAATTAGTTCTCTATTAAAAGTCTGAGTTTCCAGTTTTAGATTGGAATAGTGCCAGAAGGGAATGATAGACGCAAGGATTGGGTCGCGTTAAATTGAGTCTTCAGTTTAATATTGTGAGGGACCGTTGTAAACTGTGTTATTAGTCGAAGGGTTGCAGGAGCAGCTACAAAAGGTTAGATTCGATTTCAAAGCAGTAACGAGGTATTTTCTGATGTGCTTGTTAAAGAATTAGAATCTTGCCAGTTAGCAATGGAACGTAGCATGACGAATATACGAAAATCTGACAAAATACGTAATCAAACTATCAGAAATCGCAATAAAATATAAAACATAACGACCAGAATTCGAAAACTTAAGTGACAATGGACAGGTCATACAATAAGAGGCTCCGAAAAATGTAACAAAAGCATAGTGTTTTGGTACCCCAGAAATAGAAAAAGAAATGAGGCAGACAGTTTAGAAGATGGGAAGACGATAAAAGAACAATAGCAGGAAAGACGTGGACTAGAACAGCGCTAAACCGAGAAGAGTGGAAAGATATGGAGGAGGCCTTTGCTTTGGCCTTTGCTTGCAAACAGACGAAGTTGTCGGTGTCAACGACTCACCAGAGTCGCAATTGTAAATTATAACTACTTTGTCTGAATAAAGGCTTATATTATTAGATATTATTGTTTGTTAAGGAAAAAAATAATTCTTTTATATAAACTACGTTTAAGACATTTACTTAAACCCCCTTTTTTTTTGAGGTTAAGAATGTCAGGACCTCGGGGCTACAGCCGGTTTCGTGAGGTCTAGATGAAATTGTTTTAGGATATATTTTGCTTACGATACACGGTTTTGTATTAGGTTTGTGACATGAATTTGTGTCCACGGGATGCTCGAGAAGCTCAGATAGAGGTCGCCATGTTTACAACAATCATAAAAGTTCATTGTCGTCTTAGACCATCACTTTACGAGAGCAATGTTTTGACATCTAACACGTTAAGGTTAAGGCTTGACTGCACGGTTGGTGCGGTGGCTGGGCAACCGGCTGCCGTCCAACGTGTCGCGGGTTCGATTCCCGCACGGAACAACACCTTGTGTGAGCCACAAATTGTTGTTTCGGGTCTGGGTGTCATTGTTTAGGTGAACTTGTATGTTTGTAAACGCACCCACGACACAGGAGAAAATCCTAATGTGGGAAAACGTTTTTTTTTAAAAAAAGGTTTATTAATATACGAAACTTTCTCCTAAGTGTAACGAATACTTTTCTGAGAACCACATCAAAAACGGTTCAGCCGATCGCGAGATAATCCCGCACAAACATACATATACATACATATAGATGAAAGCGAGAACCTCCTTCTTTTTATGAAGTCGGTTAAAAATTGTTGATGTGTTTTATTATTTTGTGATGTTATTTATTTACGTTCTGTAACGTCGCCCGACACTAATGAATACGGTCCCCATAGACATAAGCTATCAACACCAATAAACAACAATAAACAAAATAACCATTTCCGTGACGACAAAATTTATTACCAAACGTCACACAATAATCAGTTATAATAGATACCAATAAAATAATAACACAATAAGTATCAAACGAACTTATTGTCTTTATCCCCAAACGTCCCAAAAATGAGACACAGCGTGAACGATGTGGAATAACGCCTAAGTTATTTATCGTTTGGCGACCGGAATTGTCTCGTGTCAGTGTGTCTCATTGTCACCCTAATCAGGTGTTGTGGATTCAACCGTGCTGGAAGTGGTAATTATAATCAGAGCGTTGCTGACCTAGGATTACTGGATTACTGGATTACTAGATTACTAGATTACCGATCGGTTTGGACGGTTCGCGTGATTGATTACTAGGGCTGATTAGGCCTCTGATTTACCTAGAGATTATTTAGTTTGGAATTGTTGTCAGCCGTTTTGGTTGGGACGAGTTGAAAGCTTGTGGGTTATTGTGTAATATTACGTACATGGTTAATTAAACCTTTGTTGGATTAGTGTAAAAACAACCAAAAAATTCGCAATTGCGACTGCCAGGGCAGGGGGTCTCGGGTTCGATTCCCGGCTCGGGCAAAGTATTATTGGGATTATTAAAAAAAATTCTCAGTGATAGCACGTAGTCTAGAATTGTGCCCGGTATATGGCAAAAGGCTCACCCCCTGTTAGATGGAATTCGTAACAAAAATAGTGAAAATTGAGTGTTATATTGTACAGTGGCATTAAGTGCCGTAATGTGCACCTCTGCCTAATCCTTCGGGGATAAAAGACGTAATGTTATGTTATGTTAAAACAAAAAAATTAAATACTTACTGTTTAATTATTAATAATATAAAATTTTAACACACTCAAGCTTTTCTTGATTAACGCAATATTCTTTTGGGAATACTTCAAACATTTTTTTTTAGTAATTCAAAGCTCTAGTCAACATATTCGCGTATTATAATTAAAAGTAATAATTTAATACAAGAAAAGCTTTAAACTAATTATTATTCTAATTTCCTTTTAAAATACAATATATTTTTATTTTCGTTTTACACACGGCGCACGACGAAGCACAATGCAATTGTTGTTTCACTTTGGTTGTCTGTGACGCCGTGGTATCACTCCGGTCGAGCCAGCCCATTCGTGCCGAAGCATGACTCTCCCACACTGAAATTATTTACACAATAATTTCATTTATTATTCGTGATCAC